CGCCGCCCCCGGCTGCCGCGCCCCCCCCGCCACTGCGGCGCCGCGAGCACACCCCCCTGCTGACCCCAGCGGCCTCCCCTGCAGGCTGCAGTGCAGCACACGGGGGGAGCGTTTATCCGTGCCGACCCCAGCATCTCCTTAGGTGTTTTGCCCAGCTTCATGCTGCAGGACAGCTCTCCCCCACCCCGCAGGCTGCACCTCCCTGCTCGTCCGCAGGCTCGCTCTGCCGCCGGACCACGTGTGCCAAGAGGTGCTCGGAGCACGGCAGCGGAACTAAGAACGTGCCAGGACAACAGCCCTTTCCACAGGAGCACCTGAACGGGACCTTTCCCAGCACCCCTCTGCCAGCCTGTGCTCTGCTGTGCACCCCTAAAATCCCTGCGGATCCTCCACACGCCTGCCCAGCCAGCCCGAGGGACCGCCGGCTGCCCGGTCCCCATCAGGGACCCCCCAACAGCAGCCCCATCCCACACTTACTTCTCCTTCTTTTTGAGCAGCGTCTGGGTCTCATCCAGCTTTGTCTGTATCTTTTCCACACGGTCATCTGCGTCCTTGGACGCGCTGTCCAGCTTCTTCTCCAGCAGGCTGAGCCGCACGTTTGCTTCGCTCAGCTCCTCGCCCTGGGGAGGCAGGAAAGAAATCAGAGCGCCCCCCAGCCCTGGGGATGGGGGCACTGGGAAAAGCTCCCGGCAGCGCCCGGTGGGAGCCTGCCCAGAAATCACAGCTCCCACCCACGCCGCTTGGTACCCAGGCACACGCGCCCATCGCCGACACTCGCCCTCCCAAAACACCGTGGGGGAGAGGCCAGGACAGCCCCTGGCAGGGAGGCACCGGGCAGACAGCACCTCCCTGACAACCAGAACAGTATTTCCAGGAGGAGATCTGGTTGGGACTCGAGACAGCCCACAGGCAACGAGTCACCAGGAGCACGGACGTGCCCGCTGCAGCAGCAGCCCCGCTCCTGGCCAGCCAGGAGGGCGGAGAGCGACGGAAGAACGGCTGACCTTGATCTTGAGAGACTTTTTCAGCTCTTTGATGACTGTCTCCCTGTCTTCCAGCTTCAGCCCCAGCCCCTCGGCGTCGGTGATCTCTGCCCGAAGAGCTGCTGCCCGTAGGTCAGCGGGCGGGGTGGGCTGCAGCCAGAGGAAGAAGACGCAAAATCAGTATTTTTAGGAGGAATTCCAGTAATTGCAGATGGGCTCTGTGGCAAGAGGGGGACGGTTCCCAGCCTCCCTGAATCCTGCAGGCAATGGCCGCACCCCCCCAGCTCCCCGCGTCAGACCCAGCAGGCAGCCTCCTGCCAGGGCTGCGGGGGGTGACGGCGCAGCTCGGACCCTCCGGCTCTGCCGCAGCCGAAGCCCACCTTGGTCTGTGGCCGGTCCGCGTCGTATTCTCCCTCCTGCATGGCCGTGGCCATCTTGTTCATGGTTGCGATGAGGATGCTGCAAGACTGACGCAGACACTCGTAGGGGTTGATGCCCTGGGTGCCGTAGATCTGCAAAGGATGGGAAGAAAATGTCAGGTGCCCCCAGGCTGGGCTCGCAGCCACCGTCACAGCCCCCTCCCAACTCCCCACGGGGCCTCAAGGGGCCGCAGCCCCCCCGGGGGGGCTGCGGAGGAAGGGCAGCCGCAGGGAGGGACTGCACAGAGCTGGGCACCACAAAGCCCTCCGCGTTTTGGCATTCCCTGGCCATTCCCCACTCGCTGCAGGAGTGGGGTGGGCTAGATGACCTTTCCGGGCCCCTTCCAACCTGAACGATTCCGTGACCCTGTGATATTCCCAGGAGTTCATTCCCAGCCTGCACAAGGCTCTCCCACCCAGAGCTGCTCGCGGGCAGGTCTGCAGCGCCGGAGCGAGACAGGTCCCGGCTTCGCCCCGCTGTAGCAGGGAAGGGGGGGCCATCGAGAGGGCGTCACCTACCTGCTCGCTTGCTTTGAAGGCCAGATCCTCCAGCCTCACAGCCAGCAGCCCCTCGTTCTCCGCCAGAGGAGCAATCATCTGCGCCCCAGCAGCGGCCACCTCCTGCAGCACGGCCACCACCCACGTCCGGTGCTTGCGGCCGGCTCA